GGCACTGAAGTCTCCGTATCCGGCACTGAAGTCTCCGTATCCGGCACCAAAGTCTCCGTGTCCGTATTCGAATTCGGATACGCTCCTCTTGGCATGGTTACCATCCGATTTTACTTCTTTATTTGACTCTTCTGCGGCTAAAATATAGGCGCACAGCGCAAATGCGCACGCCCAAAATAACATTACTTTCATCGTTTTAGTGTTTGTGCGTTAGTCGTTGTTGAATCTGCTTTACACCGAACTGAATGAATGTGAATGGTGTTCAATTTTCGGTGTCGAGCTCTTTTGTAGTAAACCGTTGCTGCTCCTTCCGGGAGTGCCAAAACCGGGTTATCGCTCCCACCCATTGATTGTCTGAGTTACGTATTTTATCTATTAAAATATCTTTCTCATAACATATTTCCATGTTGAGGCTAAAAGTTGTTTTATTCTATATCAACTTATAACCCACACACGATTAACCGGACATAAATCCTGTCATATACACATTATGATATTCGTGTTGTGTTCGTAATAAATTTTAAACAACTTTACTTTTATTTAAAAATCGAACTGTAAACAGAAAGTAAAAACGCTGGTTATCTCATACATGTATTTATTTTATTCAATTAGACTAATTTTATTATTATAACATAATACGAGTAATATACGACGTTCAACACATTCAATATCTTAAGGTTTTATAAGTGACATGCAAATATACTTATACCCTACCATGAAGTTTAAAAGTAGTATTTATTTATACAACATAAATAATTCTTATAATTATTTACCTATAATATGCTATATTTGCTTAATATTTCGTTGTTTATTATGAAGTTTTTGATTTTTTTTTTTTTTACTGAAATTCATCCATATGTAAGTGTTGTGTTGTATTTTGTTTTCAATTTTTTTCTAATTTTATTAAAATTGTATTTAATTTATATTAAATTACATTGCTTAATTTCTACATAATGTATTATATTAAGTTATTTATAGAATTATATTTTTATTAACTGTAGATATCAGACAAATTTTTTTTTTTAATTTTGAAGAAAAGTTATTGTATTATTTTAGTAATGTGTTTTCGATGGGTTTTTATTTTTTTATTACCAACTCGATCATAAAATGAACAATATTTTACTTTTGGAAATTCTTTTCAAATATAAATTAGATACTGACTTATATTTTTTATCTTTTTAAAATCAGATAATTTACAGTCTGTACAATTAATAATGCGCACAATAAAAAAATTTGAGAGTAGTAAAAAATGGGGGGGGGGGGGGGTTCTGAGTAGGAAAATCGCTAAATAGTGACACCTTATTGACCTATAATTAATAGTTAATACTATAAATGTTTAAATTTAGATTTGTTAAAGACCAAAGAAAAAATTACATTGAATAAATATTATATACCTAGTTAACAATTTTTGTATCTATAGTTTTCAAAAATTAAAAATGTATTTTATTTATAAAAATTACTAATCTTCTTTAAAATATCATTTTTATTATTGTATTATTTTTAAATAAATAGTTTTTAAATACTTGTTATAGTATATAAAAAAAAAAAATTATATTGAATGTTTTATTTTTTACACGGTTGAATGCTTTTTTTTATACAAAAATATATATATATATATATTTTTTTTGTTTTTATATTGTTTATACAATCTTTGTGCTATATTTATATTACCATCGTAGCTTATTTGAAATACGTACAGGTTTCATTTTAAAGTCGTCTGGCTTAGTATGACCCGTAAGATATAGGAACCACTATGATTTAAGGGAGAACGGCGTTCGGGATCTGTGTCAACAAATATAGTGTGAATAGTTTCACCTTACTCAGGATTAGTGCTGTTCTTTATTTTTTTATTTTTTTTTTATAGACTTGTCTAGTCGATGTACATTTGAAAACTTTTTTGAATTTCGATTAAGCTCGTATGTATATACATTATTATATGTTTGGAAGTCCGGTCGTTAGTGCATACAGTAGTTTTATTTTCATAAATATTTTTTGAAGATAAACCTGATATAGCTAAATATGTGAATTGCGTGAAAATTCAAACAAAGTAGCGTCAATGGAAAAAAATATTTTATCGTTATAGATTAGGTTTAATTTGTTTAATTTTTAGGCTGTAAACATAACGTCACTTATTTATGTAAATATGTGGTCAAAAAAATAATGAAACAAAATTAAAAATATAATCGGGTCAAAGATTACCGTCGTTGTGATGGATATTTTATATTTTATCTAAATGTCATAATTGAATAATATTATAATTTTCATATGTTACAGTGAATACCTACATAAAATATGTTTGTGTTATCACATGTGTATAGAAGACACATATACGGATTTAATTTTTAAAACATTGATTTTACTATTACCGGTTTTAATTATACAAATAATTATGTAATAAATTAATAAGATTAGTTAGAGTGAGCTTTGATAACTAACAATGCCTTACCTACCAGTTATATAACACAATGTTGTGAAGTTATACATTTTCTAAATTTCTTTTAGAAAGTTTATTTTCCAATCGAATGTAAATTAAAAACTCCAAAACATTCTTTTTACACAAAAATTTTTTATCTTACAATGAAAAAATACGTCAATGTAAAGTAAATACACACAATGCAGTATTTACTATATAGTTTTTATTCAATTTAAATAGCTAGGATGCTTTTTTTAGATACAGACATTACCGATCTAAAATAAAATACAGTACAACAATATAAGTGAAACATGTTTATCTATATTTCAAATAATAATAGAATGTTATACAATATAGATTGATGTACATTTTATACATTTGTAATATACATAGATAAAAGGATAGAAGATATATATATATATATATATATATATGTATGTGTATATATATATATATATAATACCCAAACAATTACACTATTGTATCGCGTATACAATATTATAAATATAGTTATGGTAGATAAACTATCAAGTATTTTACGGCTGAGCTAGTAATAATATTACCAATCTTTTGCATTTTTTATTTAGAAAAAAAAAATTTATCGAACAAAATAAAGGTTTTTCTTAATGTTTCCATTGCATTATAAAAAACAGTATTCAATCACAATAAGAAATAGTAAATATTTGGGATTAGGTGAATAGTGTGACTAGATCAAGAAGTTAGTTAGTTTAATATTCGCCGTTCTAGTGATGTTCGTGGTGTTCGTAATGTTCGGGCTGGTATGTCTTGACCGGGTATGGCACTGGCACTGCGACTTTGACGGGTACTTTAATCGGATACGGAATCGTCTTGAACACTGGATACGGTACTTCCTTCTCGACTGGATAAGGGATACTCTTCACCACGTGTACGGGGTACGGGCGTTCGACTGGAACCTTAACCGGGTAATGGACGGGCTTCTCGACCGGGTACGGTACGATCTTCTCGACGGGCACGTGCACTGGGTATGGCCGTTCGACCGGAACTTTGACCGGTACGTGGACCTGCTTCTCGACCGGATAAGGCACTTGCTTTTCGACGTACACTGGGTACGGTTTGTCTATGTGCACGGGATATGGGCGATCGACAGCTACTTTGTAAGGCACGTGCACTTCCTTGACCACGGGGTATGGATGGGGTACTGGAACTTTGACGGGGTACGGTTTCTCGACGTGAACAGCGTACGGTTTGGGTACTTCAACGGTGTACGGTTTGTCGACTGGAACAGCTACCTTAACCGGGTAAGGATACGGTTTGGCTACTTCCACGGGGTAAGGTTGTGGCACATTTTTGGTAATAGTCTTGACGGGTACGTG